ATAAAACGGCGATTTATGCGTAGGAGATATTTTAAAATTTAAATTAATTTATGCCGCAATACTTTTATTAAGAGTTTCATTTGTGTTTGTACACGTCAACCTGACTCCGACAGTTTCAATATTCATAATTAAAGTATGATGTGAAAAATTATGTATTCATCTATGAACTGAAAAAGTTTGTGACTGAATAATTAATATTTATAATGTGACAAACAAATATTAGTACAACTTTTGTCGTTTTAATTACAAAATTCATTTTTTAAGTTATGCTGAGTTTATGTTTTTATTTCAGAAACATTATTTATTATGTTATGAATTTTCCATTTTAATTATACCACAAATAAATTGAAACTGTTTCCAAAATAAATAGCAGAAAAAATCGAATTTAAAATATTTATATCATAGAATTGTATCCCAAGTTAATTCATTATTTTTCTAAAAACATAATATCTTTCATGATGCGAGTATCATTTACTTTTTAATAGTAACAACAACACGAATTCGGCAACGGGTCATCACAAAGGAGTTATACTTCTCAAAATTCATAAAACAATTTTAGAGCAACCAGAACAAATTTTGATAAATGAGTAATCCAGAATAATAATAAAAAAATAATCAATAATAAAATTCAATTGTATCTAGATCAAATCTATTTGTATAATAGTTAATATGGTGAATTTATCAGGAAACTAGTAAATTGAGCAAAATATAGGAGAGTAGCATCCAATCTTTGAAAGCCAGTTCCCTTTAATTAACGTGACGAAGACATAAGCCCTGAGTATTAATAGTATTTCAGGGAATAAACTTGGGAAAGATACATGAACCCTGACTCGGTTAATAAAGAGGTTAAACATTTCGCCCGCTACCAGATCTATACTTTTTCAAAACTACATATACATATTTAAGGAAAGAAATTGCATTAATAAAATACGTAAGGCAATACAATATTGACTTGTTGCCATGTTTTAAGATTCTTATACTTGACCCCAGCAATATATAAAGCGGTCATTCACATCCCCAGGCTTTCAATTTGAATATTTAAAATATTTTGCTGACCTTTTTAAGTCTAAACTTACTTATCAGTGATGTTAGAGAGGTAGCTGATCTTGATTATGTACCATTAGGTAAAGAAAATAAATAAAAATCCAAAGTAAAATATATAATAATACTTCTTATCAAGAGATTGGTTGGTCTATAATTTTTCTCGATAAAAGTACACTGCTCTAAAAGCTATTTAAGTAACAATTTTACATTATTTCACCTAGCGGTAGGTTATATATTCTATTACAATATTATATCCAATAAAAAATAGACATATATTTTAGTTATCTGTTATTTTGTATAGTTAACAAAAAACCATTAGCTTAAACTAAAATATCCTATAAATGTTCTTTAACCGCTCCACCGCCTTTCACTAAGAGGATTAACCAAATTTAAGGGCTGACATTAACGAGGGTATTTTGTAGACCATCGCTTAATTTTCTCTCGATTTTTCCGATAGCTTTGATGTGTCAGGGGGATATCCTTAGCAATGAGCATAGTTTTTCACTGATTGTGTAATAAAACCCTATTTGAAATTAGATATTCATTTATAAAAATGAGATTCAATAATTATAATAGGGAAATTTTAATACTTTGCAGATAAATGATTTTATAGTATATATAATTTATGCATGAAAAAAAATATATTTTAAAATGAAGGTTGAATCAATTTAGATACTTCTCAATACATAAAAAAATAATCAGCAAAAGTTATATAGTATAAAAGTATAAGATATAACAAAAATGCCTTTATAATTTTGAATTTTCTATCTCTAGTGTTTATAGGAAGATAAAATGTTCAATTTTGATGAATTAATTATTATTTGTAAGATAAAAACTATATTTAAAATTATATAAAAAGATGAGAAAGCCTACGTAACGTCAGTTTATTTTTTATGACACTATTAGATAAAATAATATTATTCTGTATCAACAAATAAAATATTACAACACGGAGGCAGACAATATGGTGTTATCAAAATTATAAGAACTATGTAATTAAAATGTATTAACAGATAATTAAAATCTACCTTATTTGTTGTTATAATTTTAGGTGTATTGAAAATGACAACGTAATTTGTACTAATAACATCCATTTACTAGGGATGTGCAAGTACCTCTTTTATATACAAAATAATAATAGTAGGTAATAGAAAATAGTAAAGTTTAAATTAATCATGAGATCAAAATAATAAATAAATGTTAGAAGTTTGCAATAAAAAACTTAATTTACATCTATCATAAGTTTTGACACGAACTCCCATTCTGCTTTTAAAAACCATTGATTTAAGCTTTTATATTATTGCCTAAAAATAGCACTTGAAGCTATGATTTTATTGTCAAAATTTATAATGAATATATGTTTTCAATACTTAAGGTAGACATAGAGTGGTATTTTAATATTTTTATGAAATCGAAATGTAAAATAAAAAACTATGAATTTTGTCACGAAAACACTATTCTAATGACGACTTATGAAATTCAAATTATTTTGTGTCACCTAATTAAGTAGCAGATATTTTGTTTTATGTCTTAATCCTCTTCTTGACTTTATGGCGTTTCTTTATTCTGATAACAAATCATCGAAACCATGCTAAGTAATCTTTTGAATAAATTTGAAGACGGGAATTATCCTTTATTAGGGCCAAATATAAAATTCCTAAAGTTCTGGGGCCTTATTTTGCCAGACGAGAAATATAAAAAATATTTTTATTTATTCATGCACATATCTGTTATTGTTTTTACTGCTACTGAGTATATCGAAATCTGGTTCGTTAAATACGACATGAATATGGTTTTGACAAATCTAAAAATCACTTTACTAGCAACGGTTAGTGTCAGCAAGATAACAAGCTTTTTGATTAGACAGAAAGATTGGAAAGGTATATTGAATTACGTAAATGAAACAGACAGGGAACGAAGGTCGGAAGAAGAAATTGGTAAAAAAGAAATCATTACTAAATATACCAGATACAGTCGGATGATCACTTTTTATTATTTGCTGTTAATGTATATGACAGTTATAATTGTTATTTGTCAACCAATATATAAATACTATACATCGGAAGTATACAGAAATAATGTGAGGAACGGAAAAGAAAAATATAACGAGGTCGTGAGCTCTTGGGTTCCGTTTAATAAAAATACTGTACTTGGATATATTTTTGCTTGCCTCATTCAGAGTTATGCTGCCATATATGGTGGAGGTTGGATAACTTCATTTGATACAAATGCAATTGTCACTATGGTGTTTGTAAAAAGTGAGATAGAAATGCAAATTATTGATGGCAGATTAATCTTTGGTACCGAAAAAGAACCTGCCAGTGTTAAGGAAGCAAAAAGGAGACTAATAAGATGTTACGATCGTTACTCAAAATTGATAGAGTGAGTATATTATTTATCATAGTTAACACAGCTTCGAGGCTTCTCAATGACTTTAAATCTTAAAACTAGACTCTCAGACTGATAACTATTTTTGATTTCTGAAAAATTTATGATATTGAGATAAATTTCTTTTAAACTTATAATTTTAATAAGTCTAAATAAAATATTTTTTTCTTATTTATGCATTAATTTTTTTCTGTTTTTTATTTAATTTTCTAGGCGATAAAAATAATTTCCTCTTATTCTTAGTTCCGACGAAACAAAAGTAAATTCACCACTTTTATTTTTAAATTCATTTTAACTCAGAACTAAACTGTTATTATAAACTATTATTATTTATTGTCTTAAACTATATTCACCCTCAACTACAAATAAATGTTTACACCAAAACATTTTTAGGGTAACTAAAGGGAACAAATTTAGAATGGTTAACCCCGCTTCAAACATATTTTCATTAGAATTAGTCACCTATAATATTACACTCATCCCTACTTCTTTTTATAAAAAGTCTCCGTAACAAAAGTAAATGGATTTTGTTAATTAGGTATTGGGAATTGTCGAATAAAGCCTTTAGTTTGCTGAAATAAGATATATGCAGACAGAACACAATTACCACTAACAAAAACACTTATTGTAAAACAAAACAAATACATAAGTAATGTTTTTTTTTTCTTAAACTTAGATATTATTTGTATATATGCTTTAGTCTAGGTCAGTTTTATTCCACTTGTAATTGGAAAGAACATCAATTAATCATATTATTTTTCTTTTATAAGTTTTGTACATTTATAGTGGATAAAAAAATCCTAACAGATATTTTATTTTAGTTTGAATTTCTCGTATTCAATACTTTTTTAAACTGAACAAGTACATAGCAGTTCTAAAAATTTATTTCGTTACTGGATCCACAAAGAAATTCGATGCTACAGAAGAATTATTTTTATATCTCTTCCATTAACTATATACGAGTATATACATTTTTGGTTCAGACTTGTGTCACTTGATCTTTAACAATTATATGCAATTTATTGTTATTACTTTTTATTATGCAGTTTTTACTTTAATATGTATGTAACTTTAATTATGCCACCATAGGTGTATAATAAATTCCATAATAATTACATTCATATACGCTGTAATTATTGTCGATCAGTCGTATTATAATATCTTTTATTTATATATATTAATTTTTCCATTTCTCAGAGTTAGTGATGTGACAAAAAGCATATGTCCAAAAATATGCACAATATAGTTTGATCTTATTGTAAGTGTTGAAAAAACATAATATGAAAGAAATAATTACGTAACAGAAATAAGTATAAAATATGTAGGAATATTTGTTTAGTTAGTTATAAAAGTATGCATTTACATAAACCTATATTATTTAATTCTAGATAAAATAAAAAAATAATTATTTTTGTATCATCTTTAACTAAAATATAAAAACGTTTATGTGATTAAATGCCTATAACATTAATATAATAAACCCATCCCTATGGATTTATATATTATAAATAGCATTGCACATCGATTAATTCGTTCCATTTTCTCAATTTGTAACGGCAATAACTGTCATGACATCGACAATCCAAGGGCTCTTGCAAAAACTAGAAGACCCTAAACGTCCATTATTAGGACCAACGATAAAATGGTTAAAATTATATGGATTGATATTACCAAGAACCAGGAAAGGAAAAATGATATACTTGTCAATATTGACAGTTATGGGACTGTTCATTATTTCGGAGTACGTGGACATGATAATTATGAGAAATGATGTTAACCATTTACTGCTTAATTTCAAATATTCAATGCTCAGCAGTGTTAATGTCATAAAGGTAATTACAATGTATGCCTGGCATAAACACTGGATGGGTATTTTTAAATTTACAACTCGCGTTGATATAGAAAGAAGGAATTCTCCAGATCCATTTTATCGAGAAACAGTCAGAAAATATACAAAATATTGCCGCATTATAACCTATATATATTGGTTTTTGGGGTACTGTACAGTTATTATGATTGTCGTCCAACCAGCAGCCAAATATCTGTTATCGTCAACATATCGTCAAAATGTCAAGGATGGCACAGAAAAATTTCTAGAAGTAGTTAATTCTTGGACACCATTTGATAAAACCACGATGTCAGGTTATTTGATTTCAAATATAATCCAAGGTGTAGCTTCGTTATATTCCGGAGGATGGATTACATCCTATGATACAAATGCGTTTGTATTAATGATTTTTTTCCGCGGTGAATTGGAACTTTTAAGAAGAGACTGTCAGAGCCTTTTTGGAACAGAAGAAAATCCGGTGACAAAAGAGGAAGCACTAAAACGTATTGATCATTGCCATCAACGACATAATGATATATTAAAGTGAGTATATAAGTGAATAAATAACGAAAATAATTAATTTCATTTACAAAAAACAAATATCAAACATGGTTACAGTAATAATATTGATTTTAGAATTTGGCTAGCTAAAATTTAAGTAAGACTTGTGATGATTTCATTTGTTGATCGTGCGATTTCATAGTTATTGTAATATTGTAATAAGTTCATATTCAGTAATTTTAATAAGCTTAACAAATAATATATAATAATCTATATTTCAAGACTTCTCCGCAAAATTAGAAAAAAATTATTTAAGAAAATAATTAATTAAATAAAGATATCTGGGTGTTATTCTGTGACAATGTTCTTGAAAAAAATGTTGTTTTAATATATACATATCTAAATCGTATAAAAGAGACGTTTCTAAGTTCTTGAATATAAAAACACCAGGAATTACAGCTTTTAATAGATGCTACTTATAATCAATTTGTCAAAGCACAGATCTGAATGAAAAATTCTCATATCAATTTTTTTTAATTTATTATGTTCATAGAAAATATATCAAATGCCTTCGTTATATTAAGAAATCCTTTCAGGACCTCTTTATTCTATTAATACTATGATTTAGCTACATACTCAATTTTATGATGGATAATCTTTTTAAGCTAATAATTTGTTTTCAAATAAATGTTCAAGTATTGAAATAACCTACTTCTAACAGCATTGAACTGAATTCTTGTAATAAAAATTAACAGTAACAGAAAAGCCCCTACAATCACACTAGATCTAGGTATAGAATTGTGATTTACTATCTCAAAACTATTATTACCTACTGTAGATTTTGCAGGATCTTTTATTTTACTTTAATTAATTAGTATTTAACATAATAGTATGTACTAGTACTAATAAATTTTAAGGTATATTTTTATAAGTTACCTTTATTTTTGTGCACAAAATTTGTAATTTTAAACTTCGTTGTGTAAAATAATGATAGAATGAACTTATCCTAAGTTAGACCTTAACACCACAACCACGAGTCGATTGGCTTAGCTTATTTTGTTATAAAATTTTCATAACACTATTTTATATGCATAATTTTTTGTTCGTTTTAATTGTAGTTCATTTTAAACAAGTTCCGCTGACTTTTAGAATTCCTTAACATCTAAAATTAAATTTATCTCTCCATTCAAAGTGCAGCAGTACCTCTTTCATTATTTGACTTTGTGAACATTCTTGTAGTTAAGCGATCTACTTGTATTCCTGGTATATTGAAATTAGTTTAGTCTTATAACTTAAATCATTTGAATTGGGTTCATTGAATACTTAAACTCAGAAATTTTATATATTTTTAACATATTTTGTTAATATGTTCGGTTTATTATTCAAAGATTCATAGCTAAAACATTAATTTTGTTTAAAGAACACGCGGCATAAGTAATATTTAGATTTTTACTAAAATTTTATGAGATAACTTCCTTTTAAATTTTGTAATTTTTATTTGAAATAAAACATTTGTATATTTTTAAGTAAAGTACCTTGATAAAGTAGATTCCGAAAAATATTTAAACTTGTTTTAAATTATGTTTTTCATCATATCTCTATGAATTTTCTTCAAAACTTCGTAAGGCATGATAATAAAAATTGGATCCTTGTTTCAGATACTTTCGTCTGTTCGACTCTTGTTTATCTCCCATAATGCTGTTGTATGTAATCGTTTGTTCTGTAATGCTTTGTGCAACAACTGTCCAATTAACAGTAAGTTTTGTACATTTCAATAATGTTTAAACTATAATCATCCGCATGACTAAATAAATCTTAACTTCTACTTCATTTATAGACCGAAAGCAGTGCAATGCAGAAGTTAATAACGTTTCAATATCTCATGTTTGGTGTAAGCCAAGTTTTCATTTACTGCTGGCACAGCAATGATGTATTTTATGTCGTAAGTATCAGTAAAAAATTACTACAGACAATATTGATATTTCCTTAAAATTTCAGGTCATTTTTAAAGATTATATTTTTAAGTATTTTCACTATCTTATTAACGTTTTTATTAGGATGCTTAAAAATAACAAAACTAATTAATATAAATATGAAGTATTAATATGAGGATCAACACTGTTCAGAAAAATGTGATTCCCAACGTAATTACCTAATGAGTACTTTGGTGCATTTACTTAGATATTATTATTAGATTCCTTCTAAATTGTTTAAATTCCATGTTCAGAATTACAGACAAATGTTTAAAGATTGAATTTATTAATTTAATATTTATAGAGCCAAGATTTAATGCTCGGTCCATACGAAAGCTATTGGTTCGCGCGAACTTTGTCAGAGCAAAAAAATCTTCACCTATTAGCTGGTCAATTAAATAAGCAGATTGTACTCACCGCTGGACCCTTCAGTTACATCAATTTGGCAACATTCATAAATGTGAGTAATTTTCATATCGAAAAATAAGAAAAAACTATTTTTGGGATGGTGTGGAATATTTTCATTCCTATTTCCTATTAGTAAAATTTCTTCAGGAAAGAGAGAAAGTACGAACAGTTATATATGGAATTAAACAAGAATTATGGTGATAAATAATTTCAATAATTTGTTTCAGATACTAAAAGGCGCCTACAGCTATTACACACTTTTGAATTAATAATGTGAATATAATTCTTTATAAATAATGCACCCTGAGGGAACTTATTTTCTTTCCGACGCAAAATTTAAAACATTTCAGGACCGTTAATCGTTGTAGAAGTCGCTAATATCTCTTTTTTTTTTTAAAGATTTCAAAAGACAGCATCATACCGAAAACACAACGCACTTGCTGTGCCTAGATTTATTTAACCAGTTTACATTAAGGTTCATAGAATTTTGTGAGCATAGTAATCGAAGTTTACTTTCAAAACCAAGTCATTATTTTTAAGATGTCACCCTTAATGTTGAACCGTTTAATAAAGTTTAGTGTAACTGAATAAATCACTCGCACTATATTAGGATAATATAGACGTAATTTGAATATGTAAATTGTTAGCTAAACGCTTTTTTTGGCATCATAGTTACAATCATTTATTCAACATGGCACTTTACTAAAACTTGGTCAACAACAACGACCCACAGAAGCGAAACTGAAATTGTAAAAGGTGTTTTTAAAACTAGACTATACGAAAACTTCATTTTCTTAAGCACCAATAAAAAATAAACGATATAATTATGAGGTTATAAACCTGTGAGGTTATGTATAGCTATTAATATTGATATCAATAAAAATAACAAAAAGCACTTTCAAATGTACTAAATATGTAATAAAACTTGAAAATGTTGTATTTATTTATAAAACAATCCCTAATAACCCTAGTATCCCATTATGCAGCTTCTGATAAGTTTAAATAAAGGTAAATTTATGCGGATAAACTATAACTTGCCGAATTTCCTGATTCTAGTTTTGCGATGTTTGTTTACGTTCCATAGTTATAAAATATAAACCCAACTTATTTAAATTTATGTACAAAATATATTCAATGTACAACAATATCACGGTTTCAATTTTGTGATATTACAAATTTTGTCTACATTATTCACCTAATTTTATTTGTATACAAAGATATATTCAATGTGTATAACATATGTTGAAATTTATTTACATACGTGACTAAGACCTATTTTTTGCCCGATCAGTAATGTAAACAAATATCTATAAAAAAATATAATAAATAAAAAAAACAACTGAAAGTTAACATTCTTTTCATGGCATGTTTGTACATTGTACCCTTGTCAATTATTTACAATAAAAAATATATATTTTACACAGCTTGTTATATATTAAACAAAAAATCGACAGTATAATTTTTTACTATTCAGCACTAATAAAATTTACAAGTAAATTTCTTAAAATTATATAGATCAGGCAGAAAGAAAAATCCATTGGGACGAAACCGTGCGTGTGACGGGTTTATCGCGTTGCGTGGAGAGGATCTTTAACAGTGCCTGGGACTTGTGACCCAGGTGTAGGGTTAAAGAGCTCACCTCCACCGTCCAAGCTCCTCTCTCTACCTAACCAAATTTGAAACGAACCTACTAGGCCTACCTTCGACGCACCTTCCAACAATGAACAGATGTTAGTTCTGGACAAGCTCAAGTTTTTTAATAGGTTGTAAGGAGATTTAGTTGATGTACCTGTCGTTCCTAATACAACCGTGCACAAATTTATAACTAACCTATTCTTAGAGAGTTCGTTAGTGAGCTGGTAATACTTGTTGACCGTGTTGGCATGATTGTTTCCAAAGGAACCATGAGCTGTATTAGCACAACTCGCTTTAAATTTAGCGAATATAAAAATATGTTCGGTCTGAACGTCGACGTACAATTATCCTCTGGGATTTTATATTGCTTCCTTTATTATAGTGCAATACGAAGCTGCTTTAATGATAGAGTAAGACTTGACGTTTCATTTTGTAGTACTAGTGCCTCCTCTCACAATTAATGGCTCGTTTGTGGTTATTTCTTTTTGCAAAAAGAAATATAGAATAAGAATAGTATTTCTGTAAATACTACCCGCTTCACGTATGATTTCTGGCTACTGTTAAGCATTTGCTGGTATAAATTTATTTTTATTATTATAAAATATTGAGACAATACTAGACTCATAATCCAAATAGAAATTAAATAATAAAAAAACATTTCAGCGGGGTAGGTTATGAACCAGCAATATCCGTAATATCATGTTCCAGTTCTTTTAACTATTAAGGAATCCAAAACTAACTCTAGTCGGTGAATTAGGATTCTTTATATCTAATCGCCATATCTTTATCATTACAGTATTTCTTCTATTTTGCAAAGTTAAGTAACAACAACTAAGATAATGTCATAGGGTATTATGCTGTGGGGCAACGCAGCCGCTATCCATACTATATTTGTGCTACAGAAGAGGGCTATTCGCGCAATATATAACCTAGGAGCTAAAGAATCGTTAAGGAATAAATTTAAAGAAATCAAGATATTGACTGTTGCTTCTCAATATATATTCTGCAATGTTATGTATGTACGAAAAAATATTAATGATTTTATGAGGAAATGTGATACTCATAGCATTGGTACAAGGAACAAACATAAACTTGTTACTCGACTACATAGAGTCAGTAACTCCTTCGTGGGGCAATGTATACGGTTTTACAACAGGATCCCAGAAAGCGTTCAAAATGCCTCTGTTGTTAAATTTAAAAAAAATATTAACGAACGCTTGTGTGCAAAAGGTTGCTATACAATTAATGAGTTTATGAACGATAGCACACCTTGGAAATGAAACGATCGCATCCTGGCTATTTCATCTCATATTAAATTGTGTATATAATATATGAGACAAATATATATATTTAAAAAAAAAACCCGCTGGGTTTCTTTCGCCGGTTCTTCTCAGGTCAGGGTATTTTCTTTTCCGAACCGGTGGTAGTGTCTCAAATGACCATCAATAAGAAAGTGTAATGCTTCTATATTGAATAAAGTTGTTTGAGTTTGAGTTTAAGATTTTTGTAAGAAAACCAAGTAGATGGCAATTTTTATTTATGAAAATTCATGTTTTTAAGAGTGTGACAGTAAAACTAAAATGTGATTATAATTTTAAAGATCATTTCGATAGCTTCATCTTCTGTCTTCCCTTGATCGATTTTATATGCTGAAAAATTAATTTCATTTACATTCCACTTTGTAACATCTTGTCAGAAACCACATAACAAATTCAATCTGAAGTGAAATTGCTTTAAGTTACGATCTCTTCACAAAACTTTTATATATTTGTTGCCCAAACGTGTATTTAAAGTAAGATTACAGAAATTAAGTCAACTCTTAACAAACTCTATCAAGTTTGTTTGCAAGAAGATACACGTCGAGAGGTTTCAAATTACCATAAAATTTTATAATTTCTTAAAATTGTATTTCCATTAATTTTGTAATATACTGCAATTAATAATTTATTATAGTGGTTGTCGTTGCTATGGCCTAAATATTATATATTTATGAGCCCGCAGTCTCTATTGCAATTTATGATTTATAATTAACTATACATTTAATTGATTCACTTGTTTCATTGAATATCAATTTTGAAATCGTTCATTTAGAAATAATTGCAAAACTCTTTGTTATATAATACGGTTTGAAATATATTATTGCAAAATGACAAAGTGGATTTTAATAACATAAAGCTGCAAAGATTCGGATATATATTTCTTTGATAGTGTCGTTTTTATTTTCCTCCTCTTATATCTATTTGAGGTTTTTGTTCGACACCTAATTCCTAAAAGCCCTTGACGAGTAAGGATTATTTACAAACCCATAGGAAGTGACTAGTTTTGTCAAAATCCACACATTATAGGACTATTGATACAGTCTTAGTGAAAAAATATTTTATGATATCATACTTTCACGGCAGTTACATATTTTCATATAAAGATATGCTTTCACGTTAAATTAAAATTAACTTTGCCACTCTGATGTATATACGATAGGAAATTTTAGTAATAATTATGACTGTGACATCATTACAAATTATTTTTTCTTCATAAATGATAAGATTATTCATGTTGTTAAAACGAATAACAAAAATTTTGAATTTAGTATTGAGTTATGTGGTTCATCAAAATATTCTTCACGTTTTCATTTAGCTTATCCATTAATTTAACCCTCTTACATAGGCCGGTCGGATGACTATGAAATGAATTTAGGCGTTAAATCTGATATCGATTTGGTGGAGTTTTTGAATAATAACAGGGATAGTTATATTATTTTAATTCCTTTTGAGGTTGAATTCTTTACGTAAACAGTATTTCAATTATTTAATTTCGCTTCGGATGCTGAAAGTTAAAATGAAATTATGTAGATGATTTTAGTATTAATCAAAAATTTTAAAGAATATAACATATTTTGAATAAAATTTATTTAATAGCATCACATAATTCATAATATATGTTTGAAAAAAGGTTAAGGCTGAAACTGAACGCCACGATTCCAGATGACTAGGTTGTTAGGCCTGCTACGTCATTAGATTTTTTTATAAACGGCTATAAAAATACAATAAATTATATATTTTTATTTATATTGAGAATTATACACACTTAAGTTCATATTTAGAATAGACGACAAGTTATTCAAGTTAATATAGTATATACTTACTTATAGATATTTTATGTGAAGTACAAAGTAATATTTTTGATTTTACTCAATTTAAACGATAGGTTGTTAATTTTATATAGTATTAACAGAAAAATGTTGGTCTAAAAGATAAATCATGGATATCGTATAAAAAATAATAAAAGTTATAGTAATTTGGGTGAATCTTTGAATTTGTAAAAATTGTGACACGTAAAGGTCGTAATCACGCGTCATAAAAATTCATACCGTGGCATGTGACGCCGACGGAATTAATATACATATTATAATCGTTCCAGACAAACTCTGCTGATATAACCGGCTCCGTAAAATACGACTGGAATTTGTTTATTCGCAATCTAAAAACATTTATTCCAAAACTGGGAATATTTGAGGATATTTTCACCTAATTGTTGTCACACTAGCTTTTCTATGTATAATAAATATGATTTGAACAACAATATTATTCAAATCAAGTTACCATTTATAATTTGTTGATGAAAACATTTGGTTATT